TTTTTACCTGAAAAGCATAACTAAAATCCTTTAATTTTATAGAACTCACGTTGTTTGATAGTCGATTTAATCCCAAGTTTGGTCGAGCACGGTCGAAAGATATCTTGCTTGGTTCAAACACGGTCGAGCACATTTGTTTTGGTCGAGCACGGTCAAAAAACAACTGATTGGGTCGAGCACGGTCAAGCGCACTTGTCTCGTTCGAGCACGGTCGAAACAAACCATATTTTGGCCGAGATGGTCGAAAAATACCAATTTTTGGTCGAGACGGCCGAAAAATAAAATGAGCACCTTCACATAGTCGACTACAGCCATATTGAAGAAGGAACAAATATTTAAAAAAACACTCGATAATCAATAGTTCAAGTTCAATTTTATTTGCAAGAAAAAATATTGGTGAATTGCTGGTTTTTTATAACCTACTTAAACAATATGTGCACAATCACAGCTCAATGATTCATCACAAAATTGGCATGCCTTGACCGTTTAAACACGTTTAGGCCATACCAGAAACAATAAAAGGCGACGCAAGAGGTAATAATTCAATTGGAAGCGGAGATGGATCCTGAGGACCCGAGTTTAAGTGCTCACTTTAAGTTTCGACTTTCAAAGTCAAGCACATGTCATCAGTGCTCGACCGAAAAAAAAAAAATAGCCGAGACAGGGACTTGGGTTGAGCACAACTTCAAAACATACCTCAAGAGCGGTCGAAACATACCATGAGCACGGTCGAGCACGGTCGAAACGTATCTGAAGCACGGTCGAAATTTATCAATTGTCCCGATGTAATTCAGATCAAAAAGAAAAATTTCTTTCAAATGTCAACAAATTTTTCGAAACATTTTCGACTCATATTGCAAATTTGTTTTCCAAATGAAAAAAAAATTAGCTCGAAAATAAAATAGTTCATCTCTACAAAGCAAGAAATTTGCAAATTACAGTAATCAATTCAATCTGATGGAAAAACATCAGAAGTTGTTACCTGAAAAGCATAACTAAAATCCTTTAATTTTATAGAACTCACGTTGTTTGATAGTCGATTTAATCCCAAGTTTGGTCGAGCTCGGTCGAAAGATATCTTGCTTGGTTCAAGCACGGTCGAGCGCACTTGTCTCGTTCGAGCACGGTCGAAACATACCATATTTTGGTCAAGATTTTCGAAACATACCAATTATTGGTCGAGACGGCCGAAAAATAAAGTGAGCATCTCGACCCGGTGAGAAATTAAAACAGGAACCGGACACGTGTGACAACAACTATTACACTAGACACAACCAGAAGTGAATAAGAAATGGAGGAAAAGCCCAAAAGCAGAAGAGACGAGGAAAAATGACATGTTTTGGATAGAAATAAAAACTTCTTCAATTCAATTTGGAACGACTTTCAAAACACATTGAACCTCCTCTTACTCATTAATCTCGCAAAATATATTGCGTGCTAATTGTCCCAAATTAGCCACAGTTGCAAACTTTATATCCCCAATAATTTTTATTAAATGGTCGGAATTGAAAAGTTATTTTAAGTTTGAGCTGAAGACAGTAATACTTTTTCAGCTGATCTTTAGAAACTCCGTCAAAAATGGCTAGTTGTAAAGACGAAATTTATCGGGCGGAAAAAAAACCACCCCAAGCACAGATACTGCAACACTTTCTTCGAAATCCGGAGCAAAAACAATGATATTAAGCTTTCTGTCGAAAAGTAAACATATATTCATTGCAGTTTTCAACAAGACTTTCCATAACCTGATTTTATCTGTTTTTCTAAAAGTTTACAAGGGACTAGCCCTATCTATTTTCGAGTTTTGTTATGAAACTTGGCATTCGCGACTACAGAAAAACGTAAAAATTTTAGCAAATGTCCACCAGCGGGCAATGGTAATATGATGAAGGAAAATACGTTTATGTTGAAAGAAAGCAAAATATAGACTACCAGTCCCTTGATTACCGTAGAAGAAGGAAAATCATAATAAATCCCGCCCAAAAGCGTCAAAAAGTCTGTTTGATCTGAAAAAATAGGACGCACTAACGACAAAAAATAAGAAAAGTGCTGTATAGGGTTAGGCTGCAGTTGACTGGAATTTTCTACTGTGACCGATGCATTTTTGGTCTGGAAAGCAGGGGCGGATCTCGGGTTTTCTTGAGGAGGCGGATTTACAAAAAAAATTCAAAAAATTTGTCGACCTTTTTTTTAGGTCGACGAAATTGATTTTTTGAGCTCTTCCAAATCACTGTAAACACCCCATTTTGATCAAATTTTCTGCGCAAAAACAGGCCAAAAAAGCTTTTTTAGTTTCTTTTCGGAAAAAATTGATCAAAAAGTCGCGTTTTTCCCCGTCAAACTTCAGTATGTATTGGCTCCGAAGCCGCCTTTAGTAAAACTTTAGGGTCAGTAAGCCAAAATTATATATCCCAAAATAGTACAAAAAGCGGACCACCCAACCCCCGTCCCCTCGCTAAATCCGCTACTGATGGAAAGTTTCTGGAAAATTTAGAAAGAAATGACGTTTAAAATCGCCCTATGATCAAGGTCAAACTTAACTGAATTGATCGAAAAAATTCATTGGATGGGATGCATTTTGCTAAAAAAAATTAGATAAAAGAACTTAAATCTCAAAAAAAGTGAATTTTCAACCCTACCTGTGAAGTCAAAACATCTTTCCATCCGTAAATCGTCGTCGACGATTCTCATTACTTTTACTCTATATTCGTCAGGAATATAACACAATGTTTCATTTACTTGACAAAAAATGAAAACAGGAAGGTCGTGCCAAACAAATAAACGATTGGATGATATTCCTTTGCGAAGATTTTTCAGTTTCCAGTGTGTTACTTTTTGGAAAGCTTCATTTGCGTTTAGTGTCTATTGAACGCAAGTTTTGAGCAACTTTTCATTGAATTTTTCTCAGATTTGAGACGATTTGACTGAATTTTTCTCAGAGCACTGTAACGGACATTAAGTGCGCTTGCATGCTCTACAGATGAAAATTTTGTACGGGAGTTTGTGCGAAACGCTAATTTTTTGGATGAAATTGAGTTACCAAACCAAACCATAAAACTGTTTCCATGGCCAAAAAAAACTGATTTTTCTCAATTCAATCAAATTTGAATTTTTTTTTTGAGATGCCGACTCCAATTCCTGCTTTATATTATCCATGTATGGTCTAGAAGCAAACCAAAAACGCGCTTCCAGTCATGAAATGAAATGCATGAGCTTTTGTTTGGGCCTATAATGTTTACAATTTGACTATATTTTCTTTAGTTTTTTCGGATCCAACTGTAGTGAATATTGGGCTCTTTAAGCCTGTTTAATCTTCAAAAATGGGCAAATAATGTTGACTCTTTGCTTTTCTCGATTTGATTTTTTTCGGCGAAAAAGTTATTTTTCTATTGAATTATCTCTCTGTTGTTATCGCTGCAGAAGGCCGGTGTTATATAATTATTCAATCGTTCAAAACTTGCTTCAAAAGTCAAATCACGTGTTGTTTCTGACCGTCCTCTCGTATGCTTAGATATAACACCCGTAGCTGCCTCTTCACTGAAAGAGTCAATCGCTAATTTCAAACAATCCGTCGCTTCCTTGATTAATTTCACAGCAGAAAGGAGTTTCTGTTCAGCCTGTTTCACAGCTTCTCTCTGTTTTTTCAGCTCCCTTAAAATGTTTTGCTTGAACAAACCCAATTCCTGCACGCTTTGTGCTTTTGGAAGATCCGTTTTAGAAAGCACAAGTTTGCGTATGTCCTCCATTATCGACAGGACGTCCTCATTAGCGTTGACAGATTTAGAAACTAGGCTTTCGAACTTGGTTTGATAGGCTTCAATTTTTCCCCAATTACTAAGTATACTCTGGGCTGTTTCGTCCAAAACCTGTTCCAGTGGTACAATTTGATGCCCGACATGATTTTTACTCCAGCAATGTTGGCAAACAGCAGTCGAACACTCAATGTTTTTGCAAAACATTATCACTGGCTTTTTGTGCAGTCCGCATGTTGCATTTTCAGATTTTTGATCGTCTGAGATTTTTTGATTCGCTTTTGCCACCTGAAAAAATTCATTATTATAAAGTCTTTTTTATTATAACCCCTCACCCCAGCAAACTGCAGGCCCAGTAATTAGAAGCATTGATTTTTTTAACCATAATGAGATCTGCATAAAATGCTATTTGATTAAAGCTATTTTAACTTCGATTTCATAACTTTCTATTCAATTTTGAAAATGAAAACGAAGTGCATAATTGACTTCAGATTTGTGGCCGAATGGTTCCGAGTAGAATAGCGACCAATTAGCCTGTCAATTTTTTTTTGAGCTACCTCAAAACCATGTGAAGACTTTTTTCTGAAACACAAACGTCCCTGTTTTAGGGAGAAATTTGGAAATAGTTCTTGTGTTCCTTTTGGCTCGCTATAGATCAAAATCTATATCAAAAGCGCCATTTTCAATGGTCTTGACAAAGTAGATATGGAACTTCCTAATCAAGTTCGTACATTTAGGAATTTAGGAGGGCACTTCTTCTAAATAGTAAATTCGAGAACTCATTTTTTCCAGAAACCGTATTCTGTGACACAATGTAAGATTTTTTTACCAAAAAAAAACAGTTATCTGTGAAAAGAATACAGTTTTCGAAAAAATGAGTTCTCGAGTTTATTATTTAGAGAAAAGCCATCTTGAACGGAAAAGTTTGATTAAGAATGCTTCATATCATTTTCGTTAAGACCACTAAAAATTACTTAGTTTGATATAAATATTGAGCTATGGCGAGCAAAAAGAAATTGCTCAAAATGAGCAAAGGAAAAACAGCGACAGAAATTTAAAAAACGTAGCAAAAAAGCATTGCTAAGAGAAATAGAATAAACACAAGAAAAAAATTGGCATATAAATTGGTCAAGATGGTTGACGCATAATTTGAAAATGTCCTTGTTTCATTTAGAAACCACGTTTATTTAGTTTGTCTTCAACCTTCGGTACATCAATCAATCATTGAATTATTTATCAATCTTTTCAATTATTTAATAAGAAGAATAATTCATATCATGCACATCCTCGGGGACTATAAATAGTTCAGGACAAAAAAGGCCTAGGGTTTTGGTTATTCAAATTAGTAGAAAGGTCTATAGAAAGGTCTATTAGTAGAAAGGTCTATTGCGGCTTTATTACGCATAAGCGTTCGATGCCATTAAGAGTAGCAAACGAACAAACAAGGTTCTTTCAAAGTTTTTTTTTCAAACTTTGGTTACATCTTTGTTGCACAACCAATCCTTTCTAATTTTGTAGAATCTCGTTTTTTTATTCAACGAGGTCCCAAAAACTGAAGCAGAATGCAAGGAAAAGTAGTTATCAGATAGATTGGTCAGAATCATGATGCAGAGTTTTGAGATGCATGGCTTCGCAACTTGACACGGAATATCTGTTTACTGAGTTAAATGCGGTAGCACAATGCAATCTGAGGCAAGTGAGAAAAAGTCATTTGTCCTTTGATAGTTGTATTCTTCGCTCTCACGAAAGCTTAGGTAATGTTCTTTATCTAGAGGATACAGGTGTCTAATTGTAGTAAACTTGTCATCAATCTGCTTTTCTTCCTTACTTAGTGGATCGCTTTCCATAATAGCTGATGCCCTTCGTTGCTGGAACATATTTTTCTGTGAAAGTTTTTGAATCTGTTTGATCCGATATTAGCTCCAAGTTTTCATGCCCTTTAGCAGATGTTCAACATCATCAAAGCAAATTAACGTTGCGTTTTCAAGCCCGTTAGGCTTGCCAATTTCTTCCTTTTTTTCAACACTTCGAGCAAAAACTTCGTACTTCAACAAGTGATACATAGGAAGTAGCTGGAGTTCATATCTCAGTCTTAGTCGTTGATCTCAAATCTCAAAGTTGTGTAATAAATTTTGCAAGAATGCAGTATAGTTGATGACAATTTTTCATTAAAAAATTTGTTTCGAAATAACTCATGTCTAGCTTGGTTGGTTGTACCGTGTACAATTAGTTCCATAACTTTCTATGATATTGTCGGCCTTTCCAACGCAGAGTGACTCCATGAAACTATTTTTTTCTGTTGTTGTTTGGAAATCGTTTTTTTGTTGCTGTTTGGAAAAATTCGAATCAACTTTTCTAATCTAGTGATTTGTTCGCTCCGTCTGATTGGCAAACAAGTTAACGTCACATGCACTATATTTCTGAAAAAAGCGGAGGCTGGAGTCTCCCAGTAAAGCTGTTGAAACATAAGCTCGCAAAAATCCCGTGTTATCATAACTATGATCCTCTTGCAGGCATTTGTATGCTTGAACTTGTGAGAAGAATTTCTCATTTCGGTGAGAAGCTAAAACCGAGAATAAAGTTACGGAAGGCAACATGATTCGTGCTAGCCGTTGAATTAGAGGTGTAGAACCTTTCGTTGATGTTAAAATACTTTATACCAGGTTGTGAGATCTGTTAGAAATTTGCGAGAGAGTAAAGTTTGCTGCTGATGTCGCTCGGACTGCCGATTGCTGACTCGAGGTAATTCTGAGTCATATTCTTGGAACCTGCTTTGAAACTTTTTACTTTTTCGTCTGCCTAGAGTCCAGGTCTGTTGCATTTTGTCGAGGTCTGTGTTGATTTTTGAAGAAATGCTAATTTTTCTGATATTAGACCATTCTAGAATTGGTAGAAAATGCTGCGATTAAGTTTATCTGTTTTGACGAGAGTTCTTTTGCCGAGTGGCTGCTTGCCGTAGAAGCAAATTGCCGAGGGGCACTGTTGTGCCGAGTGGGTTTCTATTTTGCCGAGGGAGCTTCTTGCCGAGTGGGCGTCCTGCCAGGAGGGCTTTGTTTTGCAGAATCGGCCATGCTTTGAAGACATGAGCTTTTTTTCAGTCAAAGGTGATAAATTAAGTTGACGCATGCATAATATTGAATTGTCTTTGATTCATTTAGAAGCCACAAACATTTATATTGTATTCAACGTATAGTAAATTAATCGATAAAGTGTTGATTTTTAACGATTTTTCAAATTTTTAATATGAAAGATTTTTCAAATCAAGAATAGTTAGATTCGTGATCCGCATGGAAATTGTCGCTGCTTAAGCATATCACAACCCTTGAAAAAAATGCAGAATGGAGCAAAACAAAATCGCTCAACTGCAAACTAATATTTTCCACTATAGATATCATCATAAGAATTTTTCAGCAACAAAAACTATAAAAAAAAACGCGCATTGATCTATTTAATTTTGAGTTTTGGCCCCAACTAATTTTGTATGACACATTAAAATTGTGATGCATCATTTGCTGTTTCTTTCATTTTGATTTTTGACAGTAGTATTTGACTTCAGTAAGAAAACGTGGTTTTAATTTTTTTAATTATTCAAGTTTTGCCTCAATATTTGCACTGTTACTCCTTAAGGAAGAAAGATCATCTGCAATCTCAAAATCCAGTGGTTTTTGGACAAAAAAATTTTAAGTAAATGTTGCTCGGCAACAAAAAGTTTGTAAAAACCTTGTTTTAAAAGTGTATCATGCCATTTTTGATTTTTGCTTTATCAAATGCAGCATGACTCACCAGATTATTTTACATATCTGATATCTCACTAACATCTGATTTTCTGACAAAAAATGAATGTTATTTATTGTCAAAAACTACAATGACAAGAACTTCATTAAATTTTTGTTTTAAATCAGTTACTCTCATTTAGGTCGTGTTACTTCATCTGCTACTTAATAACTATTGTTTTTTGATCATAACTAAAGAAAAAATGTTCAGCATCAAAACGCAACATTCAATTTTTCCATCATCATATGAAGTATGACTCGCCAATGTCCATTAACATCTTTTGATATTCCAGTAACATTTGTTTTTTTATGAAATTTTTTTGCCATAAAAAATTGATATATGTATGTATGTATGTATGTATGTATGTATGTATGTATGTATGTATGTATGTATGTATGTATGTATGTATGTATGTATGTATGTATGTATGTATGTATGTATGTATGTATGTATGTATGTATGTATGTATGTATGTATGTATGTATGTATGTATGTATGTATGTATGTATGTATGTATGTATGTATGTATGTATGTATGTATGTATGTATGTATGTATGTATGTATGTATGTATGTATGTATGTATGTATGTATGTATGTATGTGTGTATGTATGTATGTATGTATGTATGTATGTATGTATGTATGTATGTATGTATGTATGTATGTATGTATGTATGTATGTATGTATGTATGTATGTATGTATGTATGTATGTATGTATGTATGTATGTATGTATGTATGTATGTATGTATGTATGTATGTATGTATGTATGTATGTATGTATGTATGTATGTATGTATGTATGTATGTATGTATGTATGTATGTATGTATGTATGTATGTATATATGTATGTATTTGTGTATGTATGTATGTAGGTATAGTAACGGGGTTATGGGGCTATAACGCAGAAAACCCAGTAATTGAAAAAGAGCTATTTATTGCAGAAAACGGAGTGTTTGCAAAAGTTGAGATTTTCAAACTCAAAATTTTTTAAAATTTTATGAAATATTATGTGACGACTGAGATTCCCATTGTCCACAAAAAATTGTCCCGTTTTGTGTATGGCGCGCATATGCGATCTGGTGTAAACTTGGATTTTTTTGTCACCGCTCGTGAAATTTTCAATAAATGTATGTTTTAACATTGTGGAGCTTGTCTTAAAAAACTTGTATTATTCTATTTGTCACGGCTTATGAAGTTATTTTGAATAACTGTAAATTTTAACATTGTGGATCTTGCCCTAATGGTTTTCATTGCAAACCACAACGTGTTCAAAAAATTGTGATGAACTCAGAACAATATCTGGAACCGCAGTGTTCGATATATAAAAAAAAAACATTTTTAAAAAATTCAAGAGAAGTAAAGAACTTCGCAATAAAACAGGGAGCAATATATCTCTAAACTGTTGAGGGTTTAAAAACCAATCTGTCTCTACAGTTCAAAGCTAAAACAATTACGCTTCAAAAATAAACTGAGTAACTAATCTACTAAGCTACTTAGTTTCGCGAAATCAAGTTTGATTGTTTTTTTAATCGAACTGGAGGAAGAAAATTTGTCTGTTTCTAAAAATCTAAACCAAAAAAAAACACAAAGAAACTTAAAATCAATGCGAACACTACAAAAATAAGAAAAACAGTCTGAGCTGTTACTGCCGGCATTCATTGTCATCAGAAAACACTAGGTTAAGGAGTTTAATAATTACTTGTTTTGTTTTTTTCTCCAATCTGAGCTTAAACGTTTTTTCTTTGGCCTCAACAACCTCGTAGTCTTATTTTTATTTCACTTTTTGATAGTGACAGATATTTATTTCGGAGAAAATTAAAACAAAAATTGTTTTTCATTTTGTCATTTGTAGGGGGAAACTTGGGATGTAATTAGTTGCTATAGTTCTCATAGATACTAAAATTAAGAAATTAAGAGAAAATTATGAGAAAACAAAACACATAAACTAAAGGTTGTTTTAAATCAAATGTATCATTTTTTTGGATTAAAGCTGCAATAACGTCAACTTTAAAATCAGAACGTGTCAAGTTTTTCTTTAATCTTTAGCCCCATTTTTCAGTTTTTAAAATTGGAATTTTACTGCAACGAATTGAAATATATAGCCATCAAAAAGTGATCAACTTGTGAAAAGCTGATATGAATGAGATAATTATTTAAACCAGCGGCTTGCAGGTTTTCTTCAAAACACAAAACTACAAATCTAAGAGTAACAGTTAGATGAAAGCTTTCAAAACCTCGTTAAATTACACAGTCACTTTTTTTTTAATGATGCACAAATTTTGTTTTAAATTTTATTTCCACTGATTTTTTTTATTTTTTGTCACAAGAACATTGCCACAAAAACATTAGGAACTATGAAGAAGCAGGAAAATGTTTGATTTGTCTTCAATAATTTAATCTGAACTTTTACTGTAATAATGACAGTAAAATAGTTTTTTTATTGTACTAAGATTCTCAATGGTTTCAGTTGAAAAATGTAGCAGTACACAAATATCAAAGGTTAATAAACTCAGTGAAAAACTGTAAAATAATCATTTCACGGCTGAAAAGTAGAATATTTATGTTTATCACATAAAAAGGAAAACCTAAAAATTGTACTGCAGCGAACGCAAATCTCGTGGCTTTCTCAACTTTCTGAAAAATAAACATTAATTTATAAAAAAAAATGAACTATATGTTACAGGTATGACGATGTGCTGGAAAGTGAGTTGCTAAAATATACAACACAAATACGGCCAGTTATTACAGATTTGCACCAATGTGGCAAACATTTTTCGTAAAATTAGCGAGCTCTTCTTATTAACAAACCTGCGTAATTTAGTTGGAAAAAGCTACGAAAGAACACTTTAACAATTTACGTCCTAATTTATACATGATATTGTCAGTAAATATCTGAATTATGAATAAATTATGAATTTAGTTTTTTAACAAAAGCTCGTTTTGTTAGTTTTTTTTGAAAAAAAGTTGCAGTTTGATTTGAGGTTAATTTGGTTTAGAGTGAACTACAGCAAACTCAAAAATAGAAGAATTAACTTTTTTATGTACTGTGATTTCTGCAAATGTGCGCTAAATATCATGTGCCTTGTATGCGTCAAAATTTTGAAATTAAAACTCTGCACCAAACAGTTTCATAAGAATAAAAGAAAGTACCAATTTTTGACTGGTCAACATATTGATCATATAGAAAAACTATCCGATCACGTAATACAAATGAAAAGTCGGAAAAACAAACAAGATATACAAAGGTTGATGGGAGAGCAATAAGGATTGCTGATAATACAAAAAAAGTCTCAACACTTCTTCAAATGAGATTATATTATTTTTTTATTGTTTCGAGTGGGAAGCACTGTCACTGATCTAATGAGCTGTAAAACATGAGATAGTTCTAAACTTTATTTTACAGACAAGTCTTTTACAACAAGCCTTTTTGCCTTTTTATAACAAACAAGCTTTTTGCTGTTTGCAATCTTTTGGAGCTCCATGAATAAAAATCGATTTTAAATGAGTTTCACTGTCAGCGTCCACAAAAGTGAAAAAAATTTCAATTAAAATCAATCAAAAATGGATTATAACATTACGATTTTTCAAGGCAACAAAACTTGTTTTTGATCCATCATAATCAATTTTGTTTCACTTTTGTGGACAGTGACAATCAAACTCAATTTTAATCAATTTTTCTCCACTTTAATGAGATGCGAATTTCAACGCACATAGAGCTTTTTCCGTGTTTTAAACTAAAGTTAGTTATTTTTGATTATTTTAAAACAATGATAATTTGGTTTCTCTTTTATGTTACTCTATAGCTAAATTTTAATCCTTTCAACAATTGCCCGCTTCTATCCCTTCCAATGTTTGCTCCTTTGCCCCCTTTGTACCCTTACACCCGCCATCCCCAACTTGAACCAATCCCTACCCCCTCAACCAATTGAACCCCAACTAAACAACCCCCCCCCCCCACCCACCCAACCTGAACCGGATCAGAGTGTGGGGGGTTCAAGTGGATTAGGGAGTTGTTGGTTCAGGTGCGGGGGTCGGGCGATTCAGGTGGGGGGGGGGGGGTGGTTCAGGTGAGGGTTCGGGTGATTCAGGGTGGGGGGTGTGTTCAGAGGTGTGTGGGAGGGAAGTGTCCTAGAAGGCCAGGGGGGTTCAAGTTTGGGAGGGGGCAACGGGCCAAACGTTAGGGGGGATAGGTCAACGCAACGTTTTTGCAATTTGAATTTAGGTTTAGAAATAGAGAAGGCTGTACACTCATTTTGCAAAGATTTCGCATTAATCATTTGTTAAATGCAGAAATTTGCACGACGCAAAACGAAAAGAAAAAGGAAAAAAATCCCTGTACTGGTTTTATAATCCATTATAATGGATTTCAAATGAAATATAATGCACATTAATTTTGCGAGAAAAAATGAATTTAAATCCATTTTTTTGTCCAATTTCGCTATCTAAGCCTAAAATGGGAATCGATTAAATTGACAATGTTTTAGACCACAAAAATCCATTATCATCCTTTTTTTTTTACTTTTTTTAGATGCGGGCAACATCAATTTTTGACCAACGTTTTAGCGTACAATTTTCTTCGCCCAAATAAAGCAGAAGAAAATGACTTAATTTTGTGGCAAATCTGAACTTTAATATTTTTATTCGGCTTTCCACTTTACGGTCACGTTGTAACAATTTACGAATTACTACAAGAATTTCGGAATAATGGAAAAAATTTCAAATTATTGTCACTTTCAACAACTAGCAACTTAGAAAAAATTAGAAGCTTGACTGCAACTTCTCTAACTAGCTTACATATCTTGTTTTTTCAGTGTTCATCATAATTGTTAAAAGTAATGAACGTAGTGAGAACTCTTTTATAGGTCTTGGTGATATTTCTCTCGGGAAAAAGTCTTGAAATTTTTTCACTCTCATTTTTGATTTTTCGCGGTTTGAATTTGAAATTCTTTTTCAATTCAGTTCATTTCCTTTGTTAAACGGAGGGCAAAATATGCTATCGAACAGCAAAAGTGAAAGTTTTGCAAAAAAAAAAACGTGATCGATTTGTGATTTCGAAAAAGGAATTTACTAATAAGTTTTTCCAGCAAAAAAAAATTTAATCTTTTCCAACTGTTGGTTGGCTATGTTTTACCATATAAAATTATATTCACTGAGATTTTAAAATTACAATGTCTATATCTTTTAAATAACTAAATGATTGTAGTTCAATTCAACTTCTGATAGTTTTTGCAATAAGATTAAGTAGACCTGTCTTTTTTTGTTATCACAATTCCGCATCTCCTTTTTCATTTTTTTCTCATTTTAATAAAAGGAAGTAAAAAATTTTAGCAAGCAATCGTAGTTTTTTTGAATCAAAAATTCCCGCAAATAATGAAATGACAAACAAAAAAAACCGTTTTTCAATATTTAATCGTTTGAGCAACTTTTTTTAACATATGAGTTTTTGTATTTAAATTGATCTCAAAGAGTTGGTCCCATGCCGATGGAAAGTAATCCCAATGCCGAGGAAAAAAATTTTAAGCTTAGATGACCCTGCATAGATATCAGGTTTTCTGATATAAGTTTGCTCTGGTAATGTCATGAGTGGTTGTAGACAACAAACTATCAAAAGTGATACTTTCCCTGTAGTCCATCGGTTGAGAAAGAAGCGAAATATGTTTAATAATGGAATCTAGAATATAGCCAAGACGATATTGCAAAGTCTTCAATCGGATATCTTCATTTTTTCCTCCCAGTCTCGTCTTTTTGTAATCTAAGCCTTTTAATTGTTTTATGGCCGAGAGAATTCATCTTTTAAATTTTCAGGCTAATTTTAACTTAAACTTTTTTGTACTAGACAAATTGACTGCCGGTTACATTGTTCATATAAGTAGAAAATGTTGTTTCTGTCAATGCAGCTAAAACTCATCTTGTAGATCGATCTCTTTGCTTGACAAGTTTTTTAACTTGATTGATTTTCACCTGAAATTTTCATCGCGGTTGATGATAAAATGCTCAAATAAAACAGACTTTTGGCTTTAAATTGTCAGAGATTGCAGAGATTGTTTAGATTTTCTGTTGAGATGTCTAACGTCTCAGTGAAGCTTGTTCAGACGTGGCTAACTTCAATGTATGCTACAGAGTTTTATTATAAATTGCTTTTATGTACATGTAATATGTTTCACGTTTTCTTGCATCTTAATTCCCGCCACTTTTCACGTGATTCTTTCCTGCTAAAATCAATATAATTCTTTCTACATTATCCAATTCAAGACGTATTCTAAACTCTCGGTTTTGAATATAAATCATAAGTTCAACACAGAACATTTGGTGACCCCGACGTGATATCATTCACATAATCCTTCAAGATGTCAACTCCCAGCACGGAAGACAATCAAGCTACCCTAGCAAGGGAAAGAAGTACTCGTGGAGCACATCGTGGTGTTGTCACTAAGTACATCAACGACGCCAATGCAATCATGGCAAATCCTACTGACCAAGTATCGAAGCAAGATTTTGAGGCACTCAAAGTTGTTCTGATGCACTTGGACAGGAAGCTCATCACACTCAATTCCATCAACAAGACGATTGAAGCTATCACTCCAGATTCTTCACTAGTAAATGAAATAGAAGAAACTGAAGAGAAAACAGCAAACTGGCAAACAGCAATCTATCAAATATCAAGTTTCATCGGTGAAGTTGAAAGGCATATAGTACCAGCTCCACTTTAGCAACCTCAGCCATCGCAGAGCGTTCAATCTGAGCAGGTACAATTGCCTACATTTTCTGGTAATTATGTGGAATGGTCTTCGTTCTACGATCTCTTCACAGCGTCTATTGACAAGAATAATTCTCTCAGTGATGAGCAGAAACTAAACTACCTCAAAGCAGCCCTCAAAGATGAACCTGCCAGAATCATAGCTTCTTTGTCAATCACCGACGCAAACTACGCCATTGCTAAACAACAGCTCATAAAACGATACGACAACAGACGCTCAGTAATCAATGCTCATATTCAGGAGTTTCTTGCATTTTCGGCATTGAAAAGCGAAAATGTCAGTGCCCTGAGGAAACTACAGTCGAAGATTGTGGAGCACCTGTCAGCCCTTCAATCTCATAAAGTGGATACTAGTGCGTACATCTACGTATATCTCATTCTAGAGAAATTGGACCCGAAAACAAGAAGACAATGGGAGCTTCAGAATCCTGGTCCACAACTACATGACTTGGATGATGTACTCCAGTTCATTGATCAACGAGCACGATCCTTAGAAGCTTCACCTCATGCTTCTATACAGCCTAGCAGCCAAGCAAAGCAATCACAGTCCAATCAGAACAAAAACAACCATTCCAATATCTACCATTCAACTACAGACAATTGTCTTTGCTGTAAATCCAAGAATCATAAACTATTCTCCTGTAATTCATTCCGAGAAAAGACGATAGATGAGCGTTTTCAAGTTGTCAAGACGAACAAACTATGTGGTAACTGTCTACGTTCTGGTCATTTTGCGAATCAATGCAACTCAACAAGCACATGCAAGACATGTCAAGGCAAGCACAACACGCTGCTACACAGGTCCGCCCAAGCGATCAATCATATTGGCACCAGGAGACCCGAGGAGACGGATACCATCCTACCCACTGCGCAGGTTGCATTCAAGGATCGTCATGGTAATGTACAATATTTTCGCGCATTACTAGATCAAGGTTCAACTGCTTCGGTCATGACACGCCATTGTGCCCAGCAGCTAGGATTGCGTTGTCAGAAAGTAACTACTAATCTTCAATCCGTGGGGGAGACAGTCTCCGCACAATCAAATTCAGTTGTTACTGCTGAAATGCTTCCAGGAGTATTCTTTGACAGGAGTATTCATTGTCCTGCCTCGTGTGACCTGCAACCTCCCACTGGCTAACGTGAACATCGGCGGGTGGAAGCATATCAACAATCTTGATATGGCTGACAGCAGTTTTCACAAGCCTGGCTGAATTGATGTTCTTCTTGGAGTGGACGTCTACTCAGCACTTCTCAAACCTGGATTGATCAAGTTGAGCGATACAATTTGTCTTCAAGAAACAGACTTGGGCTGGATTGTATCTGGTGCAACCTCTTCAAATTCATCGCAATCGAAGCATGTCTCTATGACGACCCACAATACGGAAGAAATCGTGAATCACTTACTTATGCAAGAAGATACGGATCAAATTCTCAAGAAGTTTTGGGAATTGGAAGAAGTCCCTAAGAGTTCTCGTCTAACTCAAGAAGAAAGGGAATGTGAAGATCACTTCACTAAAACAACAATGCGGGATGATGAAGGGAGGTACGTTGTCAAACTTCCAGTAAAGGACGGCGCCCCTTCTTTCGCTGAAAGCTACCAACAAGCTGAACGACGCTTTTTATTACTTGAACAACGTCTCTTAAAAGACAAGCAACTGAAGGATAAGTACGAAGCATTTGTAAACGAATTCATTGATCTAGGACATCTAGAACTCGTTCCCGCAGCAGAAATCAATAAACATTGCGCAGACGTGTTTTACCTTCCGCATCACTGTGTGACTAAGGACTCTAGTACGACAACTAAGCTTCGTGTTGTCTTTGATGCTTCAGCCAAAACGAGTGGTGGAGATCCATCTCTTAATGACACACTTATGACTGGTCCCGTGATCTAAGATAGTTTGTTCAATATACTCAGTCGCTTCCGAGTTCATCAAATTGCCTTATCTGCTGATGTGACCAAAACGTATAGACAAATCTGTTTAGCACGACCAGACAAGGACTTTCATCAAATACTCTGGCGAAACGATCCAAAGAAACCCATTAAGACTTACAGGATGACTCGCGTGACCTATGGGATACGTTCATCTGCATACCATTCAACTAGATCCCTCACGGAAACAGCTTTAGATGTTGACGACGAAATCACCGCTCAAGTCATAAGAAACGATTTTTATGTCGACGATGCTCTTACAGGTGCAGACACTGTGGAAGAGGCAGTCGTATTACAAGATAATCTTATATCAACACTCAAGAAAGGTGGTTTCGATCTTCGAAAGTGGTCAAGCAATTGCCCACAAGTAATCACAAGATTACCGACTTCATTGCAAGAGGCACCCGAAGCCTACACAATCTGTGACAAACAGTACTCAATCAAGACCCTTGGTGTGAAGTGGCACCCAATCACTGATCAGTTTTCGTTCACTGTAACAAGAATGCCTGAAATATCAAAGTTGACAAAGAGGAAACTGCTGTCTGATGTTTCCACATTCTACGATCCCATGGGGTGGCTTTCTCCTACAATCTTACAGTTCAAGATTCTCTTGAAAGAATGCTGGCTGGCTGGATCTGATTGGGATGAACGACTTCCGGAATCTATTGAGATGTCATGGAGAAATTCTAGAGGAGAACTTTCTTTGCTTCAAAATTTAACAATCAACCGACCTTTAACACATCAATCGCCTATTGTTGAAATGCAACTTCATGTGTTTTGTGATGCCTCAGAGCGCGCATTTGCTGCAGCAGTTTACTCCCGTTGTACGGATGCCAATGGAAATGTTGTTCTAAACCTCCTCTCCGCTAAGACAAAGCTCTCTCCCATTAAGCAAATAAGTATACCAAGATTGGAACTTAGCGCTGCTGCCTTAGGCTGCAAATTATTGAAAGCATGCCTGGATGCATTCTCTTCTCAGAAGAAGCCAATGCTCAAACTCATCGGATGGACTGATTCGACTGTATATCTGTCGTGGATCAACGACCACCCAGCAAAATGGTCATGTTTTGTTGGCAATCGAACCACAGCAATACAAGAAATTATTCCACCTGCCTCTTGGAAGCATGTTCCCTCAGCCGAAAATCCAGCGGATTGCGCCTCCAGAGGATTGGCCCCTAATCTTCTCCTTCCTCATAAACTTTGGTGGAATGGCCCTTCCTGGCTCGCCGAAAATCCAATCACATGGCCCCAACAACCGTCAATCATCAGTAACGAGGATTCAGAGAGACGCAAGCGAACGATTCTTCATGCGTATAAGGTACCTCTATGTCAACCATTCGAGACCAGGTTCTCTGTTATGTCTAGACTTGTACGAGTGACTGCATGGCTACTCCGAGCTTCAAAGTTGTTAAGGAAAATTACAACTCCTAAAGGCAATCTTATGGCAGATGAACTCGTCACGGCACTACACGCACTTCTAGCAAGCCATCAAAAGGACTTTTTCAATGATGAGATCTCGCAACTATCTGAGAAGACATCCTACAGAGGAGCACTCCTGTCGCTGACGCCCTTTGTTGAAAAAGATAGCGGTCTTTTACGAGTGGGGGGGAAGGTTAGCGCAAAGTGATCACAGCAACGATTTGAAGTTTCCAATACTAATAGACGGCAAATCACATCTAGCAACTCTGTTAATCCGTCAAGCACATACCAAAACCATGCATGGAGGCCCACAAGCAACGCTGTCACATTTACGTCAAAGATACTGGATAACCGGTGGCAAAAAGGTAATAACTAAAGTGACACAATCATGTATTACTTGCCGACGCTTCGCAAGACGGCTAGCAAGTGCAAACCCAATTATGGGAGACCTTCCCCAGGAACGTATAACCCAATCACGACCTTTCACGCATGTTGGCATTGATTTTGGTGGACCGATTTCTCTCAAAACCTCTTCCAAGTCCGTGGGAAAAGCGTACATTGCGTTACTTGTATGTTTCACCACCAAAGCGGTCCACATTGAACTTGTATCTTCCCTATCAACACCATCTTGTGTATCAGCCTTGAAACGGTTCATTGCTCGACGGGGAAAGCCTGCATGTATATATAGTGACAAGGCTACCAACTTCATTGGTGCACGAAATGAGATGATAGCATTACGTGAAATTCTGGGCAACGACAAGAAGAACTCTGCCGCAAGCTTCATCATACAACAGGGCGTTGACTGGGTAACAATACCACCACGCGCGCCATACTTTGGCGGACTTTGGAAGGCCGGAATCAAGAGCTGTAAGAATCACTTAAGAAAGGTTGTCGGAACTCAAGCTCCTACATTCGAAGAACTCTACACTGTCCTCGCCCAAATCGAAATTATTATGAATTCAAGACCCTTAACACCACTTTCGAATGATCCTAATGACGTCACAGCCTTGACGCCAGGTCATTTCCTTATAGGAGCACCCTTGACGGCACTTCCTGATAGTGTACCGAACAAAGAGACAGCCTCCGTGACGCTTAAGCAACGTTGGTTACACACTCAACAAATGGTTAACGATTTTTGGAAACGATGGTCCAAAGAATATCTTACAACACTCAATCAAAGAAACAAGTGGAAAATACAAACAAGGAGCCTTCAAGTTGGCGATATGGTTCTAGTTGCAAAAGCAACATCTCACCTCTTCAGTGGCCCTTAGCGAGAGTCATGAAGACCTTTCTTGGAAACGACGATATAGCACGTGTTGTACAAATCCGTACATCTAAAGGAACCTATAACAGACCGGCTACAAAACTTCATCTACTGACTAGCTCTTGTGACAATTGATGTGGTTAATGACAAGTTAACAAATTGCAAGCAATTGCTTTATGATTCAAATTGTATTCACAACTAAACTATTTATTCTCATTTCTGTTTCTCAGAGTTCGGGTGAATTTCTTCTTTCGCTTAGGCATCTTCTGACTTCGGCTTCTTGGATTCAATACCGGATGAGCTACACCTGTTGGAGCTGTGTACTGCACTTGTCTTTTCTGCATTACCTCAGTAGAATCACTGGTTTTTATGGACCATGTTAGCAGCACACTATACTCATACGTCAAAACCATGTGGCCAGTACAATACGGTAGATATATAGCTTCCCCTGCAAATGAAAATATTTCAAGTATTGTCTTAACATTTATTCAGTAATATCATTACCTGGTTTTTGCACATGAACCCACAGGTCTTTACGATCCATTCTCAAGGACTCGGTTAGCCAACTGGACGGCGACCATCGACTTTCTGGTTTTCGTAGCAGAAAATTGGTTACTCTTCTATTCGTTGTGAAAAACCAAAGTTTCTCCCCACGCTGAAGTTGCGACCATGCAGTCAAGGGCGGATCTCCATCGATATGCCAGGGTGTAAATGATATGCCTCTAGAAATCAATAAAAACGGATCGTACACTTCTTCATCTTCCCTACAATGATTTTCCCATACTGATATTTCACCATTTTGACTGTTCTTTGGCTCAACGGGCTGATAAACATCATTTCCAAAACCACAATCCAAGCCTGGTTCGCCTACGTTAAACTCTCTTTGCAAGTCGTCAAATCTTTCACTCTTGGAAGCTGTGTTAACAGCATCATTTTGGAATCTGATTACCTCATTCTTTATAACCCCGGGCTGTTTGGGATTCTTCAATAACTCAAAGACAGATTTGACAGGCAGAAATTCGTATCTTTTTTTCACGGCCATCTCCATTAACTCATCAGCTGCTTTACACTCTTTCACAAAATCGGCAATACTCATCGTCTCATCAGTGGGTACATCATATGTCGCAAACATATCTGAAAGAAAAACCATTTGTCAAAAAACTGTCTCCTTAGAGCTCTCATTATTAGTTATGTGACTATTATCTTTTGAGAGGATCTCTCAAGGTGGGCTGGATGTGGCTAACTCAGACGTGGCTAACTTCAATGTATGCTAAAGAGTTTTATTTTAAATTGCTTTTATGTACATGTAATCTGTTTCACGTTTTCTTGCATCTTAATTCCCGCCACTTTTCACGTGATTCTTTCCTGCTAAAATCAATATAATTCTTTCTACATTATCCAATTCAAGACGTATTCTAAACTCTCGGTTTTGAATATAAATCATAAGTTCAACACAGAACAAAGCTGATTGCTTTTATCCTTTTCAAAAATCAAAAATTTTTTAACCATTTCATCAAATTCACCAGTGTGAAGAGCTTAGACTAGTTTCAGCGATTGTTCTCATTGGTCTGAAAGTAGGCATCAAAAATTATTTTCAGTCTTTTTTGATGATACAATTTTTGTCTCGAGTTTTTGGTTGTGAAAAACTGTAATACTTAATGGGAAAAAGGAGCTTCTTGAAGGCTATAATCTTAAAATTATATCAACTTACGGCAACTTCAGTGATCATTCTTTTTTGCCTTAAGCCTCCCATTTAAGATGGGCTGTTGTTACACATCGATTTCATCAATTTTTTTATATTAACTTTCGGTATGAAAAGTTTTTTTATCTCTTCGTGCAATTGTTGGTTCAACTTTCAACCTCTTTGCATTTCCGATCAAAAAAAGCTCGCCATTAGCATTATATCTTTTGTTTTGAAACTTTTTATTCTGTTGATGTAATCTTGCTGTTTTTTGTTTGTATAATTGTCTTCCCTGGAGTTGAAAAGTCTGAATCGTGATTGAGCGTTTCGTTTTGTAGATTTCTCAGGTAAAGAGGCACTGCTGCAAATTTTCTTCTGATTTGAAGTTTTTTTTTGGTAGGAAATTGTTGAAGAGTCATTGAGTCGTGGGAAAAATTTGAGTGTAAAAAACTCTTTTAGTTTCTATTCTGTTTGTTCCGCAGTTATGAATTTGGCCTAATTTTGAAGAAAAAAACTGTTCTTTAAAAAATTTTGCGCGACCTCACAGTTTGAAAGTTGGGTTGCACCAATCTTTCTGTAATGTTGTATCACAAAACTGACGCTTGACGCTTTGAGTTTATTTGGAAATTGTTTTTTACCCTCAGTTAGTTACCATAAAATAATTTGATTTTTTTAACTTTCGCCGCTTTGGTATCCTGCTCAAACAAAAATTTAATTCTGAAAGGTTGCTTTCAGTAAAAACAGCTTCACTGATGGCAAAGTTTCTTTCTTAATTCAGTTCCCTTATCATCAGTCATTAAAGGTTTGTTCTAGTTCATGATAATTTTGTCTGCGGCAACAAAAGATATTTTAGAAACTGGAATGATTGGCGCCAGTGTATCTTTGATTGGAATGATTGGCGCCAGGGGCGGACTTTCAAAAATATTGGAAAATTTTGTCGACTTTTTTTTAGGTCGACCAAATTGATTTTCCGAGCTCTGCCAAAGCACCAAAAATACCTGAAAAATTAGGCCAAAAAAGACGTTGTTAGGCTTTTTTTTGAAATTTTTGACCAACAAAATCGCATTTTCTCGGCGCGCGCTCCCCCCTCAAGATTAGTATATATTAACGCCAAAGGCGCCCTTAGAAAAATTTTAGGGTACGTCATCAAAAATGGATATCTCAAAAAAGTACAAAGGGGGACCCTTTGGGTCGGCAGGGGGTCGAATCCCTGAAAATGGGGCGTCCGACCCCCCCTCCCCCTGCCCCCTCCCCCTAAATCCGCCCCTGGGTTGCATGGTCTTCCTCTTGAATATACGCATGTTTTTAAATATGGAATTGTTGTCTATGAAGTGAATTAATTAGAGCAAACATAAGTTTTTTTAAATTCTAAATTCCCATTCGCTCAAAATAATGGCCATTTGTTTTAAGAATCGTTTCCGTATTCATCTCAAAGCTGTAAAATTTTTTATAAAACTATTTGTTGTTTGTACTACTAAGAGTTAAGCATCATTGACTACAAGAGTATATTTTTACTGACAGTTGAAATATTAATCTCCTTGTTTTTGAGCTGAATCGTCGAAAATAGATGGAATTAAATTGTATCGCCACCTCAAGATTTTACTTGTTATATTTTATCTCAATCAGTCTGATGTTCGAGGAGCAAAATCAACCGAAGATGACGTGATGGGTTCTCTGCAGCATGCTCAAAGTATTGTCTTGAACACTTTGTAGGTTCAACTGCCTTACAAGATACACAAGCTGCTGAGCACGACCAGATTAATGGATTAAAACTAAATGTGGTGTTTTTAAGTGGCTCATTCCAGACCAGCGGACAACCCAGCACTTATAGATTTATGTTTGAAAATTTTTAAAGGTAAATCAGTTTCAATAGAAATCAACAATTTAAAAAAAAATTGAAACTCTCTAAAGTGTGCAAAAAACTAACCAAGATCATAAATAACTGTAGCGTAGAGCACATAGAAAATTGTGTGTGCTCAAAAATGGCAAAAAATGAAAAAAAAGACCCGGTGACTACTTCCAATTAAAAAATAACTTCCAAGTCTTTAGTTTACTCTAATATAGGCAAAAAACGTAACTTGGCCTTTTTGGGTATAAATATTCTGATGATTCACTTAAGAACGTAAGAAGGTACGTAGATGAAAATCAAAATCAATTAAAATAGGACTGACGCTTTATTTTAGAAGTTGATCTTCACTTCGTAACACGAATATCATAATGAAAGGCAGGGTTCGTCGAGTTTTGTGAAGCACTTCAACTGGGA